TGCCCATGCTGTAAAGAACTCCAAAATCTTTATGCAATTACAGCCCAGAAGTGAAACAAGAAGCATTGTTTGGAAGATGTGTTGAATTATGCCCTAGCTCCAGAGCCTATGAAATTACATAGCCCATTTTCAATACATTTGAAGCCCTTACAAACTAAGCAGGACTGAGCAACTATTCAGCCAGGTCTGAAAAAGGTAAAGATTGAAGCAAATTCTTAAAATGCAGTCGATCCTTGATTTCTTAAATAATAAAAAAAAAAAAAGCACATATATTAATGAAAAAGAACATTGGTATGTGTCTCCCAAAGCAAGAGATAATCCAAACATCATCAGAGTTTTAAGTTTCTACTTTACCCTCCTAATTCTATTTTGCTCAGCCTAGTATTTAAATTCATTTGCATTCCCTTGACACATGCCAAACATTGGCAAGGGAATTGATCCCAGGGTGTCCTGAATCCAGGAATTGACTTTCTCATCCTTTTGCTCCGGGCTGTTTTTCCCTTGCTAATGTCAACATTGGAGTTTTCTTTTTCTCTCATTAACCAATTCCAATTGTTTGCACAGGGCAAAATGCGATTGCAAGGAACGTTTAGTTTTTAATGTTCAGCACTGTACAAGAACAGACTGGGACCGTGCAAGGATGACTAGGTGGTGTTGCTTGAGAAGCACCCACAAGTTCTTTGAAACAGAATTTGGAACAGCTGGACCACTGCAGTGTTTTATTTTAAAATAGATAACATATGTAATGCATATGGTCCTAGACATGTATGGAGACACAGGCAGACAATCTGAATGGTATCCAAAGACACCTGCACCTAGAATTCTGTTTCCTTTTATAAGATTTTTTTCCCCCTAAGAACACATGTTCCCACTTTGGGATTTGCAAGATGCCATCTGAATCCCCATGTGTGTGACTCCTTTAATAAAGTTGATGGGAAGTTTCCTGGGATGCAAATGTCAGAGTAAGTCAGTTAATAAACACCTTCTAAGGACCTGGCTCCTCTGGGAGCTGCCAGGGGAAGTAACAGATCAGAAACTTACCCCTCAAGGAACATTTTATCTACCAGGGGATTTAAGTGTGTGTTCTGACCACAGAGAAATTGGAACATCACCCAGCAAAAACAGAGACAGAGAATAGGAGCTGGTTATACAGGGGCAGAGGAGAAGCATAAAGCAGACAGCTTGGAAAGGACTCCCAGCTTCCTAGAAACGATATGGCTTAAGAAGCAACCTATAACTAACAATATAGGTCAATAGCGATCAATGTAGTGACAGCCTTGGCTCCCTAAGAATATTAAACAAACTGGCTTTGGGAGCACTGAGAAGCCTGCCCGTTCACTCATGGCTAAGGTTTTTGAGCACTTAGTATATGCCAGGCACGTAGGTGCTTTACACGTTCTGCTTATCAGATCCTGACAACAATCCTCTCTGAGGGTAGACTCAAACACCATTCTCAACTTACAAATGAGGAAAATGAGACTCAGAAACACTAATCAACTTCCTCACATTGCATACCCTGTAACGGCAGAGCTGGCCTCAGATTCAGTCTTCGTGACCCTCTAAGCCCACCCACTTAATCATGCTGTGTACCAGGTACTGTTCTAGGTGCTGGGAATACAGCAGAGAACAAAAATTTCAAAATCCCTGCTTGGATGGAGCATCAAAATCACACCCCTTCCTTGGACACCTTAAAAAAGCATTCCTGGCCTACTGCTCCTCTTTTTTTTTTTTTTTTTTGTCGTCTGAATGTAATAAGCTCAATGAAACTCTCAGAAATTTCATGGGAGCCAGCCACCCTGTTAAGCACTCTTGAGTTGTTGGAACCATTAAGATAATGAGCCTGATTCTGAGTAAATGATGATTTTGCGTAAGCAAAATCCAAGGGCTGCTCGTTTTACTTGCTGGAAATTCCCACTGCATTAAGCTCCATCCCGTGGAAGGTGTAAAGGGAACTTAAGGATGATTAAATGACAGTGGCAGCAGAAAGGGAACTAAAAGTTCGGCTCTTTTGACACACGAGGAAACTGAGACTCAGACAGATCAACACTTCAGCCAGTATCCCACACCTATTTAAAAGTGGAGCTCACAGGGGGCTTCCCTGGTGGCGCAGTGGTTGAGAGTCCGCCTGCCAATGCAGGGGACAGGGGTTCGAGCCCTGGTCTGGGAAGATCCCACATGCCGCGGAGCAACTAGGCCCGTGAGCCACAACTACTGAGCCGGCGCGTCTGGAGCCTGTGCTCCGCAACAAGAGAGGCCGCGATAGTGAGAGGCCCGCGCACCGCGATGAAGAGTGGCCCCCGCTTGCCACAACTAGAGAAAGCCCTCGCACAGAAATGAAGACCCAACACAGCAAAAATAAATAAATTAATTAATAAACTCCTACCCCAACATCTTCTTTAAAAAAAAATAAAAAAAAATAAAAAAAAAAAATAAAAGTGGAGCTCACAGGAGCACCCAGACCTCCTAAATCAGTCCCAGGCTCAGTCACCCCCATGTGAACTGACAGAGGGGAAAGAAGGAAGAAGGGAAAAAGGAATTTTTATGTTGATAGGGTTACTTTCGGAAAAGGAAAACAGGCGGATTTTAAGCATATTTTAAAACCTGCTTTAAAATGTAAGTAAAAATGAAATTGTTCTTTAGATGAAGTCTAAGCCGAGAATTAGCGTGGTGAAGCCGTCTTGTGATGATGGATGGGGGAGGTGGGAGGGGGTAGGTCTGTATCCAGGTCTCCACGGAGGAGGCAAGCTCTCTTTCCAGATCCATTTCCTGAGTGGGCAGCCATGCAAAATAGTTCATCACAGAGTTTTCAAGAGGTTCAGCAAATAGAGGAAGAGACTTCAAACGTGGGGCATATTTTTAACAGCTACAGAAGAGCCCCCTACTCTCTGGCTAAATGACTGTTTGCACCATCATAATTGAAGAGCACTAAAATAGCAGAGGCAAACTGGCCAAGTTAAAGGGCCCGACCGATTTGTCAGCCTGTAGCCTCTTCTGACAAACCTGAGATCAAGAAGCTGATGCTAGCCAAATTGCCTCATCTATCTGCTAGAATTGGGAGGCACGGAGTGAGTGAGGCTTTTTATGAGCAATGGGTGTACCCCACTGTTAGTTTCTCTGGGGACTGACAGGATGGGGGTGAGAGGGCAGAATTGTCCTAAGGGACGGAACAGTATCACCTGGATTACAGGAGTGCCATCCTGCAGGGGGACAACTAAAGTTGGAGCAGGTTTAAGACACTTGCTTTGAGCCAGAGACACACACACACACACACCCTTACACACACACACATCCTAGAAGCAGCTAGCTTTCTCCCCAGTACCAACTTCCTGGCCATCTCTCTTTCTAGCCATCCTGAGTCAAAGGAGAAATATAGCTTGGAGACCAAATTACCAAACAAAAGAATCCTCCTAGACAAAGCACCTAAACTCAAATTGAAAGCACTTTCCTGAAGACAAATCTGAGGCAATTAACCCCGCAAAGAGGATTCTTTCAGATTCTCTAATATAATTCCTGCTCATGTGATATCCCTTCCAGAATTTTGTGTTTTATCCTATTAGTAGAGCGATTTGGCTATTAAAAGAGACATTCTTCAACTTCCCTTCTGGTAACCGTTGCTTCTGTGTGTCTTGGGCATAAACAACACATCCTGTTCAAACACTGACCACTTGCTGCTTCTATGAAAGATGACTGAAGATTTAAAACCCAACAAAAAGAGGGCATACATCTGACATACCATGCATTTAAGTTGGAAGGATACCCCAGATTAATAATGTGAGGAAAAATCATCATCTTAACATCACGCTGCAACTATAGCCCCCATTTTCAGCCATCCCCCAAGCAGGGAGGAAAAACAAAACCGCCTGGGATGAAGGCCACTTTTGAAAATATTATTCAAATACCCTCTCAAGTCAGAAATCCGTTTTCCCATGTCCTGACAGCATCACTGGTCCCTGGCAGGTGCCCGAATTCCAGTAGAATGTTGCACGCAAGGGGATGAATAAACTCTTGCTTGATTTAAGATTCTTTTTCTTCACAGCATTTCAGGACAGTGCGTAAATATGAGACAGAGTGAGCCGATTCCTTTAATGTCTAGGACCTTCATTCCTTCCTCTTTGGGATTTGCTTGGTCTCACTCGAGTCGGATTCTCTGAGTTATTTTGCCGATTGAATATAGACTATTTTAGTTACACATATTGAGATTAATTAGTTAGCCCTTAGGAGGTTTTGCCTACAGCCTTCACCCTGTAAGGAAAAGTGTGAATACATTGAGACTATTAATTCACAATAAATGGCAGATCATAGCTCTTGCTGAGTAAATTTGTTTGTCTTTCATAAGCTTCGCTAACTGAGTAAGCACACTATAAGGCAATGTCCTTGGCTATCACAAACTAAATTCCCGTTGAATTTATTCTCCAGGTTTCAATGAAAATCTTTTGTTATTATTTTGTTTTAATTTTGGAGGATGGGGACCCAAACCTTTTGTGCAACCAAATCGGCCACGGGGATTTGGAAGGGGAGGATAAAAATATTGTCACTTTGCTGAAAATCAGCATAACCCTTTTTTCCAGATAATCCCAATAATTGTAGAGAAATTGCTCTAGATATAACCACTGGAATGGCAGAATCTATTAAAAACCTAAAAGCTAAATAGGCTTTTATAAGCAAAGATCCGATCTGCTTTCAGTGTTTGGTGAAACGCAGGCGAAGTTACGGTCGAGTGCTTAGTTTTTCAAGAAAAACATAAATGCACTGGAGTTGTGATCATTTGATAAACATGTTGATGCCAATATATTTTTGCCGAAATGCAATAAACTCACCAGTAAGTGATGCAAGTTGACAATGGGAGGTATAAAAAGAATATCTTGGGGATGTTGGTGGGAGGCAACGGGGAAACAGCTAGCGTTTGTAATGCCTAGTGAATTCCTGTGTATTTGAAATGTCAAAGAAAATGTGATGTGTTTCTCTAAATTGTGTCTCTCTCTACATGTATAAATGAACAGACGCAGATAGAGCCCAAAAACATGGCATGGATGAATTTATCTCTTCCAACCCCTGTAACTTTGACCACGCTTCCCTCTTTGAGATGGTGCAACGTCTTACTTTGGATCACAGACTTAATGATTCCTATTCTTGCCTGGCAAGTATATTCTTTGGTATACAGCAATTGAAACGTGATAACATTTCAAAAAATAAAATATTTTTCTACCTTTATGTCAGAAGCTCTTTTCTCCGTTGTGGAGCCCCTTTAACAATTATAAATGTGTTCTTGATTTCCTGTGTTGAGATAGTTTTAGTTACCAAAGAAAGAAGACAGAGCGGGAGGAAGTTATCAGTAGAGACGGATCCAATTCCCCAGCCTCCCTATCTGAGCTTCCCCCTTTTCAGCTGCTACATGAGAAATATTCTCAAGAGGGTAATTGAGTTTGGCACCTGCTTATGGAGAACTTGTAAAAATTGCCTTGGTTTCTTAGACATTAAGATTCCCCTCGCACCCCACCCCACATAGTAAGACCCTGTGCTCCTGTCTCAGAAATGAATGGGTCCTTTTTATTTATTTTTTTAAAGATGAAAATGATTTGTAAATCAAGTTCACTTCCCTTTTCATAAGGTAAATGGGTTTGGGTTTGTTTGTTTGAGTGGCTTTCTTCTTTCTACATAGTATTCGAAGCATTTTTCACCCTTTGGGGGAATTTTCGTGTGGTGCTTTAGACGTTTAGAAGTCCCGCTCTCCAGCAAGAGCATGAACATTTCTTGAAATCCTATTTTAAGCCTAGATTTAAATCCATTTAAGTTTAAGGGACCGCTATTACGTGTTTATTAGATTTATGAAGATAGATTTGAGGTTATACCATCAAATTCAAAACCCTAAAAGAGACCCAATTTATTTCCTTCTGCAAACCTGAAATTGTTACTTCATTGCTTAAAGATAAAGGCTATTAATCCCACATTATAGATGGGAAAGGTGAGGGGAAAGGATGAAATGGCTTTACACAGAGGAAAAGCCTCATCCCTGACTCCACATACTAAGGTTAATATATCTGTATATTATTAAATTTAACATATTATTGATATTAACATAAATATAATGAAAATCTGGGTTTTTTTGGTCTAAATGGTATGGCTATACCCTAAATCTGTCCTGACGAATTTTTTTGTTTTAAATTCCTTTTCTTGTTTTGTGCCAGGAGACAAAATATTTTAAATGGTAGATAAAATAGTCTAAAAAACAGAAACGGGATTATGTGGAATAATTTATTAATCTTCGTCTCACAAAAGATTCATTGATTATCTCAGGTTTAGAATCACTTCATCAGAAGTCTGAACTTTGCCAAATTGGAAAGGAATACATCATTTTGACTTAAAAAAAAAAAAAGAAAGAAAAGCTTACCTTGCATTGCAAGGCAGTTTTTCTCAAATGTATTTCCCACGATTATGTAATTATTCATGTAATTATAAATTGCGTTCGTGAAACTTGTAAGAATATGCCTCTGAACTTAAATAATTTCTTTTTATGTACAATTCCTAGTCTCTTGAGGAATTTTTTGAGGAGTCTTATTTTCAAGACTTTTTTCAAATCCTGATTTCTTAAAACGATTTTCTTTTTCACTAAGAAATTCATCACTAAGGAGTGAGTGCCCTCTAGAAAAAATTAAACCAGAAATGAAATTTTGAAGCTTGCTCCCTGTGAATCACATATAGGCCTAAAAATCCAAAATTAATTATGAATATCATAAAACAGTTTCCTTTCCCGTTTGTGTACCTGTATCTATTAATCATCATCCCCAAATTTCAGAAAATAACAGCCATTAAAAAGACCTTATCTCCTGCCTCTATATATTCCATTTTCTCATTATTACAATCTTTTTTTTCAGTTAGTTTTGGAGACCGACCAGCAGGGATACATAAATTTTTCTGTGTCTTCGACTGAGTTCCTAATTGATATTTCTTCAACTCTTTTCAAAGCAGCTATTTTGGCATCTACAAAAGACTTGGTGTCATCTGAGTCGTAGAAAATATATTTTAATCTTTCACAGCAGTGTTGTTTCTAAGATTTAGCATTTGGGGTAGCAGATGGAGTGGCAAAGAAGTTGCCTATAGGGGCAGCCCACTGCCTCGACTACTCTCCCGCCCTCTGCAGTAACTTATCATTTGAAATAGGAAAGATGCCGTCTTTCGTTGGATGCATTGCTGAGCTGCATGTTGTCTATAGAAGTTTCCCCGGATCACTAATACCAGAGGAGAGTGTTGGCAGGGGCCTCCCTCGCTGCAATTCCTTGGCCTTTACCTGCCACCTGGTCACTTTCTCTTTTTGCCTTTTCTCTCCCAAGACGGAGCCATATTCAAAAGATGACTCAGAGAAGACCCTCAAAGTAAAATTAAATTTATATTTAAGACAATCCTAAATTCTCGGCTTACAGTGTACCACCTCAGTTGGTTTCTTTCTTGCTTCAGAAGGGTACCCAAACTGAAAGAAGTGATTGGATTTCAGGCTTGTCCCAAGGGTGCCTTTGAGTGGCAAGTCACTTGGCCTGTCTGATCAGCTCTTAAGTGCATGACAGAGGCAGCAGTTTCTACCCCATCATGCCTACCAGTCTGCTCTGGATCGGAGATTCCATCCGGGTTCTCTTTCAGAGCAGAGTTTTGTGTGGTCCTGCAGCAAGCAAATACATGATAAGAAAACAAATAACCGCCAGGGAAAGAAGAAAGCAAAACGCTCAGCCAGGGCCCAGGAAGCTCCTCTCAGTTTAATTGAATCCTATATGATTCACAACTTGAAAACTTAGTCATGTTTTTCTCTTTGGAAAGTTCTGTTATTATCTTCATTTTAAAATCTAAAAAACTTTTTTCTTCCAAAGTGAAAGGATTTATGAGGTCCTAGCATGTATGTAGACCAATCCTAGTATTTATTAATGCTCCAGAGTATTAAAAAAAAAAAAAAAAAAACACCCAGAAGACTTGGAGTAAGACAGAGCTGGGTTTGCAAGAGGGAGGGGATATGGAGATATATGTATACATATAGCTGATTCACTTTGTTATGCAGCAGAAACTAACACAACATAGTAAAGCAATTACACTCCAATAAAGATGTTAAAAAAAAAAATGAATAAGAATCCAATAGTATCATACTCTACGTACTATTTTACAATAATTTATTGCATTGTGACCATATTTCCATGGTAATAGGTATAGTCTGTAATATTAAAAAGAAGAAAGACAGAGCTGGGTTTCAGTCCTGCCTGTTTTGTGTTATTTGTGAGCTCTTATTTCCATTTCCTCATCTATGAAATGGAGATAAACCTGCTCTGTCTGCTTCTCTCAAGGTTGTTATGGGGCTCAACTGAAAGTTCTTTGTCAAGGGTAAAGCACTGTACCAATTTAAGGCATTAATGTTATTATTTCCTCTTATCAGTAACCAAGACTTTGCCCTACCCACACTCCAACACTCTTTTAAGGTGTACGCTTCAGTGTTAAAGCAGTGGGTGAGCCTCTCTTTCTGGAATCATGCCCTCTGCTAATCCAGATGCCATCAATTACTAGCTGCAGGATGCTAGGGAAACTCTGTGTCCTCCCTGACCTCAAATTTCCCGACCATCAAACAGGGGTAGCAGTTGATAGGGCTCTTATGAGGACTAAACCAGATAGCACACACAGCGTTGGGCACAGTGGCTGGCACTTAATAAGCAATCAGGAAGTGTTAGCTCTGTGGCTATTTTTAACCCCCTTCTCTAGTCATCCCCAACTCTAGCAGCTCTCCCCCAGAAAAACCCATTTTAAAACCCATTTAAAACCCATTTAAAAGAAAGTCTCTCCTTTATTCTCCAAACAGGGCTGGTTCAGTCCTGGCCAGGTGTTTGTACTAGACGAGTATTGCGCCCGAAATGGAGTCCGAGGGTGTCACCGACATCTCTGTTACCTCAGAGATTTGCTTGAACGGGCAGAAAATGGCGCCATGATTGACCCCACCCTCCTTCACTATAGCTTTGCCTTCTGTGCATCCCACGTCCATGGGAACAGGTAAGCACATGTCCAGAGGTATTCCTTTAAAAATACTTTTTAAGGCACTGGCCATGGTTTATGACTGGTCCTGCTTTTAGGGTCATGTCTAACTCTATCCATTCCCATTCCCTCAGCAGTGCAGACCAGTGGGCGTGCGTGCGCGCGCACGCACACACACACACACACACGCACGCACGCACGCACGCACATACCAGCCACACAAACACAAAAAACACACAGGTCTGAATTTCTACTCCTTTCAAGAGACTTAAGAGAAATGGCAAACAGGACTTCTAGACTCTGAAATTAGAACAATCTAGGCTCAAATCATGGCTTCTCCATTTGCTCTCCATGACCCTGGATGGTAATTAAACCCTCTCTGCCATGGTTTTCTCATCTGTAAAACAGGGATGATAGTGTCCTCATGGGGTTGTCAAGAGGATGCAAGTGGACATAAAGGGTTCAGCACAATGCCTGGGACATGGCAAAGGCTAAATAAGTATTTGCCTCTGTTGTTGCTATCATTCATTTCATAAATATTTAATGATTACTTGTTGAGGGTCAGGTACTCTGCTGTACCTTCAGCGTGCACGGTGAGCAAAAACCAGACACCAAATGAGGGCAGAGTTATATAGAGATTGGTTCTCTGAGAAGAAGGAATAAAACTCCATGGTAGCAGTTACTAAAGGAACACAACTCAGATGGGGTGGCAGGATGGCAGGAAGAACCCCCCCCCCCCCCGCG